AGATAGATAGATAGATAGATAGATAGATAGATAGATAGATAGATAGATAGATAGATAGATAGATAGATAGATAGATAGATTCTGTTTACTCCACTGCAAAATTGAACCTTGATAATTGATGGTGTCCATTGTGTGCCTATTAAACTTAAGCAAGCCACCAAGGGACTAATTATTTCGAGGGCTGAATCCAAGCAGGGCTGCAATCTTGGATTTTACTGATATGGCTACATAAGTTATGTGTCAGGCCTGCAGTTACAATCCAAAGGTGCTTTTACTAAAATGCATATGGTCTTTGGAATTTGTCTTTGGTGCATAAACTCTCAGTGTACATAAAAAGACAGGATACATTTGTCAAGAATCATAAGGTACCACACTTAGTGATAGTCATAGTGTACAAATAAGCAATCAAATCATACTAGGAAACAATCTATAAATCGTAAGGATAGAAGCAACAAAGTTACAGTCCTGCAGTCATAAGTAGAAGAAGATGGGTGATAGGAACGATGAGAAGACTAATAGTAATGCAGCCTTAGTGAATACTTTGACAGTGGTGAAAGAATTATTTGTTTAGCAGAGAGATGGCATTCAGGAAAAACTGTCCTTGTGTCTAGTTGTTCTGGTGTGCAGTGCTCTATAGCATCATTTTGGGGATAGGAGATGAAACAATTTATGTCCAGGATGTGAGGGGTCTATAAATATTTTCATGGCCCCCTTTTTGACTTGTGCAGTATATAGGTCCTCAATGGAAGGCAGTTTTTGATGTTAGGTGTCCATTTTAAGTCTTGAGATATTTGAGAGTATTTTTTCCCTTTTATGTAAACTGACAGCATATGCACCAAAGACAAATTCCTTGTGTGTCCAATCATACTTGGCCAATAAAGAATTCATTCTCATTCTCTCTCTCTCTCCCTCTCTCTCTCTCTCTCTCTCTCTCTCTCTCCCCTTCCCTATCTATCTATCTATCTATCTATCTATCTATCTATCTATCTATCTATCTATCTATCTATCTATGTGGATAATTAACCAGTGGAACAGCTTGCCTCTTAAAATCTCTACAGTTGCTTGTATGGATGTTCTCTAAGATGTCACCTTCCCTTTTAACCAGGTGCTGGGAAATCCCATGGCCAACGCGAACACTGCTATGAACCCAGCAGGCAACCCCATGGCTTCTGGGATGACGGCCAGCAATCCTGGCATGAATTCCCCTCAGTTTGCAGGACAGCAGCCGTCTTTCTCGGCCAAGGCCAGCTCCAACCAGTCCTACATTCAACAAAGCATGTACGGACGACCCACTGCATATCCCGGCAGTGGAGGCTTTGCGGGAAGGTAAGGCTGGGACAGAGGTTGCCCATTCCATGCTGGTTTAGAAGAGGCTTAGAGAAAAGAGATCAGGCGCCATCAGAACGTGATAGGAATTGAATTGGGAGTCATCGTGACCGTTCCTTTCTATATTCGTCACCCCTAAACAGAGAGATGAAACTTGGAGGGGCAATTTCCAAAGACATCCATGATAAACCATAGAGGTAACATGGGTTTTTAAAGACAAATTTGAAAAGTCTTCTTAAAGGCCTAAGGATGGGGGAAATCCTAAAACAAACTTCAGAAACATACAGTTCTTAGCAAAACTATTTAGTTGCTATAAAAGGGAAGGGAAGGAAAGGGAAGGAAAAGGAAGTGAAGTAGAAAGGGAAGGGAAGAAGAGAAGAGGAAGAAGAAAGGAAAAAGGGAGAAGAAGAAAAGAAGAAGGGGAAAGGAAGCGAGAAAGGAGAGGGGAGGAAAGGCAAGGAAAGGAAAGAGAGAGGGGAAAGAAGAGGAGAGGAAAGGAGAAAGGGGAGAAGGGGAGGGGAGGGGAAAGTTCAAATTTAAAGCAAAATACTTTCAGGAAGGATGAACTCAAAATACCTTCAGGAAAATGATTTGTACATGACTCAAGTCAATCAAATAAGGCGTACAAACTAAGCTATAGTTTTATTTAACCACTGAATGCATGATGCAACACATAGACATATAAGTGGCTAACATTTTTCTGAGCATCTGTACAAAAGTTATTGATAGATAAAAATATTACAGTTTTGGTCAGGAGAACAAATGTTGAACATTAGCCAAACCAAACTCAAAACATCCCTTTTGTACTTGCCTGTAGAGAAAACCGGATTTAAATAATATTTAGAACCAAACGTCATGTTTTATTATCATTTGCATAATTTGAGACCCTCAAACGTGGAATTATTACTTTGTCACACATATGCCAACTTGTCGGAAATAATGTGCAAAGTGATTTCCAGATTAGAACCTTTTTGCACAAATCTTCGTTCAACTCCCAGATAGGAGATCTGTAATTTGAGCAGTCCTCACCCTGATCCAGTATGCTGGCACAAGGGAATAACTGTGACTCTTTCCCCCACCACTGTAACTGGGGTAGTGCGGAAATTAGTGAAGTTTGCTGGAATCTTCCTGTCTTCAAGGAACAACGTGAGAAGCCAAAAAAAGAAGACATGAATATGTCGCATGTATTTAGAATAACAGAGTTGGAAGGGGACCTTGGAGGTCTTCTAGTCCAATCCCCTGCTTAGGCAGGAAACCTTATACCACTTGAGACAAATGGTTCTCCAACATCTTCTTTAAAACTTCCAGTGTTAGAGCATTCACAACTTCTGGAGGCAAGTCCTTCCACCGATCAATTGTTCTCACTGTCAGGAAATTTCTCCTTAGTTCCAAGTTGCTTCTCTCCTTGATTAGTTTCCACCCAATTTCCCAATGTTTTCCATACTAGATTGGGGTATTGTCCTGAGAAGCCAAATGGATTGGGAGTTAATTAAGAGCATAAAAACCCACACAAACCCAATAAATGGGAATTTTCAGGAGATGATGTACTCAGGAGGACTTGGTGGCTCACGTTGTAGGAGGCTGAGCCTGCGCACCGCTGAGACTGGTGGCTTGGTTCCTGTGAGTGAATAAACCAGGTAGGGACAGGAAAGGACACTCCCCCCCCCCCCAATTGCATACCAGCCTACCGGCATCCCACAACAAAAGCTAACACACCCGAAAAAATTCCTTTCACAGAGGCAGCCAGCCACCTTGGTGATCCCTGGCTAACACATGCCATACACTTTAAAAAACAACAACACTCAGAATGAAATATGGACAGTTGTGCCTGCAAAATGAATAAGGGAAACACGTAGTCATTTTTTTGGAGCATCTGTAATTATGCACGGATGCATTTGGGATGGGATTGCATTGCTGATGTTCCCAGAACTCTCTAGTTGTCATCTCCATTTGGGACCCACATTTTCATGTTAAAATTCCCTGCGTGCATTATTACAAATGCAAACTAAGAGAATAACAGAGTTGGAAGGGACCTTGGAGGTCTTCTAGTCAAACCCCTGCTCAAGCAGGAGACCGTATACTCTATCAGACAAATGGTTGTCCAGTCTCTTCTTGAAAAGCTCCAGTGATGGAGGATCCACAGCTTCTGAAGAAAAACCTTTAATTGTTCTCACAGTCAGCAAATTTCTCCTTATTTCCAGGTTGCTTCTCTCCTTGATTAGTTTCCACCCATTGCTTCTTGTCCGGCCCTCAGGTGCTTTGGAGAATAGTTTGATTCCCTCTTCTTTGTGGCAGCCCCTGAGATATCGGAACACTGCTGTCATGTCTCCCCTAGTCCTTTTCATTAAACTAGAGCTATCTAATTCCAGCAACCGTTCTTTACATGTTTTAGCCTCCAGTCCCCTAATCATCTTTGTTGCTCTTCTCTGCACTCTTTCTAGAGTC